AGAAAGAGAGAGAGAGAGAGAGAGAGAGAGAGAGAGAGAGAGAGAGAGAGAGAGAGAGAGACCGCTAACGCTGGAAGGTCGGTGTCGGACGATCGCGAAACATCCGCCCGACGACGATGACATTGATAAACCGATAAGCGAGGCTAGTAAAGTCTCGGACGACCTTGCATAGAAAATAGTCGTTCGCCGAGACTCAAGGACGACGGCGGCGACATGCGGTGAGCGCGCGCTATCATTCCCGCAACTATCCGCACACTTAGGTTGGTTCTACAATACGTCGTATGTCGGGACGCAATCAATAGTTCAATCAGGAGAACTCGTCTCGAAAAACAAATCCTCTGATTGACCCATCGACTGCGTTCTGACGTCCGACAGCGGCATGCGACGTATTGTAGAACAAGCCTTAGGGATCGTCTACAATGCGGCCGCGGTTACATCTTAAAGTCATAATACCAGTCTGTGAATCGATCATGTACCGACTTCCTTCGCGTAACTCGTGAAAAATGAAAATAGAACTGGTCGATGAAAATTTTCATCTTTCACAAAGAATCGACACATTATCGACACATACCAGTGCCACGACTTTAAAACGTAATTACGACTGCATTGTAAAAGATCCTTTATTAATTCGCTCGCACAGCGCGGTGTCCTCACGTATCGCGGCGTAAATAAATCCTCATATCACGACCTGATTAGCGCGTTACTATAATTAGATGTCGCGGCTAACCGACGCTGCATCGGCGGCGGCCCGATTTATATACGAGTGAACGTGGCGCGGTCGAGAGCGCGCTCGCGAGAAGGAGAACTTTCGCAGAAACTACTGAGTGGACTGGGGGTCGCGCGACGTACAGTTAGGTGTAATCGCGGTACTCTGCGTTACGTGATGGACGTAATCGCACACGTGTCATTCGATCTCTCGCTTGCTCGCTTGCTCGCTCGCTCGCTCGCGCGCGCGCACGCACGCACGCTGCGGCCGGCATGCGCGAGAGTGCATACGCAATCCTCAGCGCGTCTCTGTGGGAAGGGGTGATCGTTCGCGAACAGTTTGCCGTGGCGCGATCACTCCACGAGGCGGATTTAAAGGGCTCGCGAGAGGGGCCGCAAACTTTACGGTAAACGGACTTGGCGCGCGTGTCGTCACGCTTGAGTCTCTATTCATAACCAGACGCTAAATTTATAGGAAGGACTCCGGAGAGTGTCCCCTCCCTACCTCCTCTCTCGCGTGCGCGTTGCGCCGTCTAAGCAGCGCCAATGACGCCAAGCTGCATTCTCGCGTCCTCGCTCCGGCACAAAGTGCATTCTTAGTCGAGAGCGCGCGGCCCTTTCCCCCTTGCGAAATCGATTTTCCTCTCGCAAAACGATCCGGCTTTGAGGCTCTCTCTCTCTCTCTCTCTCTCTCTCTCTCTCTCTCTCTCTCTCTCTCTCTATCTCTCTCTCTCTCTCTCTCTCTTTCTCTCTCTCTC